ATACGCTTTTAAAAGGATACATAACAAGAGCTATAGATGGGAGCTGGCAAAGGTATATGTGCTAACCAGTGTGTATTTTAGACCCATTGTAACAATGCATTAATTGGCATATTAAGTAGAAGAAACTAGCTAAAAATTTGTGTCCTTGATGGTTTAGAAATTATTTAGAGAAAGAATTGGCAAAGTTTGAATATGTAACTATAGATTAGATAACAGTATGGGTATAAATGTTAAATTTCCTGAATTTGATAGTTGTCATGTTTTGTAAGAGAGTATCCTTGTTCTTAAGAAATACACACTGAAGGATTAGGGAAAAGGGCAGGCCACCTATCATTCTCACGTCATTCTTAAATAATAACAACAATATAATATTTAGAAAGACAGATAAAGTAAATGTGGTAAAACTTCAACAATTGATAAATATGGGTAAAGGATATATGGGAGGTCTCTACAGGAATCTTGTAGCTTTTTAAAGCTTGAGATAGGTTTTAAAAAGAACCCTACTCAGAATTGTGCTATAGAAATTTGCTTGACTGCCTTTAGTCGTACATCAGGTTGCATTACCGCACATGTAAGATGAATTTAATTTTAACCTTAGATAAAAGCTTGTATTGAGCAAATATTTTTCTCAGAAATGATAACAAAGGCATATTTTGCCAATGGTCCCAAAATGTGGAGTATTCCAAAATATGTATAAGTCAGTTAAAGAGACAAGATAGAGTTTCCCTTAAGAGATTCTCAGGATGAAGGCTGTGTCTGGGTAAAAGCTAATTAGAAACCTGAGTGATATCCTGTGTAAAGAAAGATGATAAATATACAACTATTATGTACCTGTAATAATTAAAAATTAAAAAAGATGTTAGGGAAGTTTTGTCTATTATCATCTTATTATTCTGGCACATTTTGATTATATGAGATATGGAATTTCCTAATTGAGTAATTTTTTCATCCAATTGATATAAATTTGAGTCTGAATTTTAGTCTTCTAAAATCATGTTTTTGTTTTAGGATGGTTTTGCAAGAATAAGACTTGACCAAGACCGACTGCCAGTAATAGGTAAATAATACTGTGTCTGGGAAAATTAGTTTTAGAGAAAATATGTTGTTAGAGTTTATGAAATTTATCTTCCTAAATGTAAATGAGTTTCCATTGTAGGTAACAAACTTATACAATGTTGTTGCCTTGCTCACCTAACTGAAAATACTGAAAACATGGTCAGAGTTTAAAACTTTGAGGGATTCATCTGTATCATTGATTAAACATCTACAGCTATAAAGATTAACAAAGAATGATATAATTTCTCCCAAATTTTAATTGAGAAAGCTTGTAATTGCAGTCATTTTTGTGGTTTCTGCCTCTCTAACCACGTTTTCCTGGATGCCAACTCCTTTTCTCCTGGGGGTTCTCTGAAACTTTCATTCTTACCTCAATAATTTCATCCTCTTGATTACTCACGGTCTTCTTAGGTCCTCTGTAGAGAATGAGGTACTTCCATTGCGCTTACTTGCCACTTTTGGCGTTCTTAACTTCACATTGGTTTGGCTCTGTGGATATTGTAGATTTCCAGAGGTCTTCGAATCTTTGGAATGTGTCATTCTACTACTTGTTTTTTTTTAAGTGGAATCAAATGGGATTACTTGCTACTGTAATAATATGACAGCAACTCAATAATGCATGAAATCCTAATAAGTATGTGATATTATAAGTATTTAATATCTTCTCAATATTGCTACTATTCATCAGTTTCTGTTCAGATTACCTCTTCTGATTTGCTAACCTTTGAAAACTTTGTCTTTCAAACAGAGCCTGTTAATATTAATGAAGAAAGTGAGGGAATTGACCAAAACACCCAAGTTAGGAATCAAGGAATTATAGCTTTGAGTTACCGTGACTGGGAGGTAAGGCTCCACGTGCTGCCCCTGCACAGTTCTGACTCTGACTTCACTTGCTGTGAGCCCAGTGCCCAAATGTTCTTTGTTCTCTGCCAGGAAATTGTGAAGACCTTTGAGATCTCAGAGCCTGTGATTACTTCGGGTCAGAACCAGCAGCGGCTAAGTGCTTGATGCCAGCTGAAGGTAATGTTTTCTGCAGGACAGCTGCACAGTTTTAGCAATCCAAACATTCCTACTTTCCCCCATTCCAGTGATATTTGGATTTTTGCCTCCCTCTAGTGCCCCATTCTTAGAACTGTGTGTAACTGGTGAGAAAAGCATAGTGGTTGTAAGGTCCCTTCTCTGGATTGATTACTTTGGTGTTTTTAAGATTTGCAGCTGAAAGAGGCAGAGCAGATGTTTGTTCTTGGTTTGGCTTTTTTCCCCCGTAAAAAACTGATAAATTAGATTAAGTGAAATACTGAATCCTCCCATCAGTGTTGTTCACTGTCCCATTAGATTTGCTTGTTTTATAGGGACAAAGGAGGATTAGGACAGAGCTGCCTTCGAATGATGTTAGTACATGGGCATTTCTGAAATTCGAATTATGCTATGAAATAATTCTTCATTTTTATGAAGGGGGATATTTCTAGAAAGAAATCTTGGTAATAGTCTGGCATTCTGCACTGCCCACAGCTGCGGATGGAAAACAGCAAGTCTAGATCTGTTGGCTCTGCCCCTTTCAAACTTTGGACAAGCCATTTAATCTCATTCAGCTTCATTTTCGAAGTGGGGAGATTTTCGAACTAGATAATTGCTAAGGTTATTTTTTTTCTAGCTCAAATTTCCTATGATTTTGAGAACTGAGAATTAAAATGAGCTTTTTAGTACTTAATGTAAACTCTTAATATATGCTTCAATTACTTGAAATTCTTTTGTTCCAAGATAATTTACTTCTGTAAAAATATTTTGAGGGAAAGAGGAATATAGACATAAGCTGTATAATGTGGGTTAATCTGGGCCCTACTTACTGAGGAGGGGGCTAGTTGTTAGATTTCATTTATGTATATTATATAAACTTTTGATTTATCATTTATAAACTGTTAACCAGCTGTCTCTTCTCCCTTTTTTTAGGACTCAAATAATAGTGAAATCCAAAAAGGAAAGCAGCATGTACTGTATATATTGTATGATTCAACATTTTTAAAGACAGATTGTTTTTAGTAAAATGTAGCTTTTGATAGTTAATAAATTTGTCATGGTTGTCTTTGATTAAAGGAACTTCACTGCCATATTCACAAATGATTGTAGTTACTCTTTACTTTCTTATGGGAATTTCTCCTTTTTCCAGTCCTGTCCTGTTGAAAGTTTTACGTAGGTTGTTAATGCCCCATGGATCATTGTGGTTCCTTCTATATCATTTTAGCTGTAAAATTAGTCAAGGCAACAAATAGCTTGTACCATGTGAAATTGTTTTATAGGTAAAAAAGGTTCAGATATCAGCAATTTCCTATGATTCAGCCTATGGTTTACACACAAGAAACTCTTAAGTCCTCTGACAAGCCAGGCTGCCTGCTTTCCCCTGTAGCAGCAGCCCTGGATCCATCTGACCAGCCTGCTGCTCCATGCCTCTGATGCCTGCTGGGCCTTCAAGTCTGCCCTTGATGTTTTCTGGGCTGTAGTTGGTTCCTTTTCCCACTTCCCACCTTTCTCCTTTCATCCTTTCTCCTTCCCTCTGGCGTCAGGGCTAGAGGTGTCTCTTCTGTGGAAGGCTCTGGGTTCCAGCTCTTCCTGCTTCCTAGGAGAGTCTGTTCAGTTATTCCCACTGCCCGTATCTGGAGTTCTCCATTCAACCATGCTCATCTCTATAATTTAAAAAAAAATTACTGTGACCCTCCTCAAGCTACTATCGTGTCTCTTCTTTAAATGAGAATCACTTGCTGTCTCCCCTTTTTCCAGTCCTCAAACTGTGGCTGTACGACACCTCCTTTCACACCAATCTACCAAGTGAATCTGTTTTGTGCCAAATTTACTGATTGCTTTCCAGATTGTTAACTCCAGTGGATAAATGCTGTACATCTGACATGTGGAAGGTTATGCCTTGAAACTGCACATCCTTGACTGACATCTGTTGCTTTCCCTGGTTCCCCTTCCACTGTCTCACTCTCACGATGTTTGCTACGTTTATATCCTGAACAGTTACAAAACTTTGATGCCTAAACGTCTTGAAAAAGCCACAGATATACTTGTAACCAGTGGTTTATCGGACAGAATGTGGGCTGTTTTATACATATGTTTAAACACACGAATCAAACAGCCCCCCCAAATCTTCTCCCTACAATCCCTACACTGGCACTTTGACCACTTTATTTCCTCAAATAGAAACCTAGGGTTCTCCCACCGCCTCCAGCCTGTACCTTGACTGGGCACTAATTCCCACGGGTCTCCGATCTCTCCGTCTTGTCCACGTTATTGCCAGACTCCCATCTGCTGTCTCCTGCTTCTTTTCTGTCCTTCAGATCTTTTCTCTCCAACGCTGCTGCCCCCACCCTAACGGCCTAACTGGTTTCCTTGAAACCACACTTCTCACCCTCTGCCCCATGCCCATCAGACCAATCACTGCAGCCAGGGGCATCTTATTACATAAACTAAGCCTGTCACTGTTCTGCCCAAAACCCTGGGGTAGCACCCTTTTCCTTTTAGGAGAAAATCCCAGATTCCAGGATGGCAGCCATTGCCTGGCCCCTGATCACCTCTCTAGACAACTTTCTCAGCTTGACTGTTTGCTCACTGTGCTCCAGCCACATGGACTTTTCTAGTCCTCAAACACTGTATTCTCTTTCCCATCTGAGCATTTTCATCTGCTCTTCCTTCATCTGCTGCCAACACACACAGCTACAGTACTTAACCATTTTCAGCTTCCATGTCACTCCCTCAGGCCCTCCACAAACTCAGATAAAACCTCGTCCTTTTTCATGACACTTACCACAATTTGTGATAACTGTCTAACATCGACGCCCTTTGCTAGACTAAGCACGGGTGGTGTTTATCTGTAGGGCTGTCTGGCCAGCACCGTTGGTGTTCACTGAACCAAATGCTGACCTAAACCTACCTAACAGGCCAAGCACTTTCCCTTGAAACACTAGGGCCCTTCACACCAGCGGTAAACTTCACATGATCATATTATTAGCTCCAAAGTTAATGTAAATGTATTTCCTCACCTTAATCTTCTTTTCTAGTGGGGAGTGGGAACCTACTGCAACCCGAGGGTCTTGAATGTTTTTAGCCAAAGCCAATCTAGAAGATCAAAAAGAGAAGTTTTACTAGGATTTGGAGAAAGGTTTTAGGAAGCATCCCACAGTATGCCTTGTATTAGGGAGTTGATTTGGGACCCAGTTTCCACATGTAGCAGAAGGTATTTCTCTGTGCCAACAGGCAGGACTCTATGATACGTTTAACTTCTGTCTTTCCCTAAAGCAGGGAGGGAATGTACTCTGATAAAAGTATAAACAGAGCCACATTATGTTCGAGGTTGAGGCTGTCAGAAGCACCTTTAACACTGGAGAGGGAAGACCCATTTGCTATTTCAAATACCACAAACCACTGCTTTTGAATGTTATTGGTAGAAGAAAGAACTTAGCTTTGATGAGAAAAGTTTTCAAAGTTGGCAAGTCCATTTTAAGTGCAGTTATGTGTAAAGTTATTAGCAATAAATATAATGCAATAAATACAATGTATAAGCTGTCATCAATTTCTAAAAACAGGTATCTAACATGTTTCATGATTCTTGTTAAATTTAAATAGATAATGAAACAATTAGATGACAAGAAAGTTTTTAAAAAATTGAATGTAGAAAAATATAGCAGGGAACTTAGCACTTTAGAGCACAGTTACTTTAGGCATCCTGGAGACTGCTTATTTCTTAACCTGGTTAGCAAATACATTTCTATGTTTAGCAACCTGGGTTATAAATATTTTGTTTTCTCTGACTTCTCTTAGCAAAAAAAAAAAAAAAAAATTGAGAGAGAGAAGGATTTTATAAGATAGAACTGGAAACAAACAAAAGAATATTTGTCTTTTAAGTGAAGCTAACTTCTTAAAACGTAAGACTCATATTTCTGCTTTCGTATTTTCCTTTTCTAAGAGGTTCTTATATTGTTTCCATAGCAACACTTATTGAGTTTACTATACACCAGGTACGGTGCTAGAACCTAAATAGGTTATTTTGATCTTCCAAACATTCTTATGAGGTAGGTCCTCATAGGGCAAAGAGACCTGAGGCCACAAGAGGTTTAGGGACTTGTCAAAGGCCCCAGAGTTAGCTTCAGAGGCAGGATATGTGTGTGCGTGACTCCAGAGCACATAATTTTCATCCCTGGGCTACACTTGTTCCCAGACAGATGAAATTCCCTTGGCTGTACCCAAAACAGAGGAAAACAATACCTACTGTTCTTCTGCACCCAGACCCAACCATTCTGTGTCTGTCACCAAAGACTCAGATGCTGCTTGTCCTTGGCTAGTCCACCCTCGCACCCTCTCCTCACAGCACCTTTGCTCACTTCCTCCTGCTGTTTCTCTTTGGCGTCTTTTGCTTCAGCCATTGCCCTGTCAACGGCCAGCTTTACGTACAACATCTCTGCTCTCAGCGTCTACTGTCCTGAGTTGCCCTCTGTGCTCTCTCTAACCTCTCACTCTCTGCTCTGCGAAGTACGCTTTCCAGCCATTCAAGTTCTGGCCCTCTTTCAGACTTTCAGCTACCCACTGTTGATGCTTTAGGATGGCTTGGGGTGATTTCTAAGGCAACCCGAAGCAGTCACAGGTTTTTTGTGTGTCATCACTATCCCTGATTGAGGCTACTGTGCAGTGGTATGTGAAGACATAGTCTGGCTGGGAGGGAATGGACTTTGCTTAGTGTGAGCTGGGCTGAATGGTCACAGACAGACTCGAAGGGGCTGTGTGCAGTCAGAGAAAGCATCTCTAAAGGCAATGAGAGCATCGTTTTCATTTTTGTTTTTTTGGAAGACGTGTGTTGTCCATGGAAATGGAATTGGTGGAAACCCCTGGAGCAGGTCCTGCACGCATACTCACAGTAGCCGGAGGAGGCTGGACAAGTGGACAGATGGGCCAATCATGTGGTCACTTAGCTGGTGTGTCACTCAGCTAAATACTACTGCTGCTATGGAGGTTTTAAGTGTTAATACGGTTTAATATATTTTTACTCACTTATTATTTAAAGATAGAGCAGAAAATATACTACTGTTGAAATACAAACTAGTATCTTTTCATGGCTTGAAAATGGCATTCCAGCTCTTTGTTTTTTAATTGCTGAAAAATACTCCATTATATAGATGTGCCACCATTTGTTTATCCATTCACCTATTGAAGGACATCATGGTTACTTCCAAGTTTTGGCAATTACAAATAAAGCTGCTGAAAACATTTGCGTGAAGGGTTTTGTGTGGACATAAGTTTTCATATCCTTTGGGTGTGTACCAAAGAACATGACTACTGGATTTATGGTAAGAGTATGTTTAGTTTTGTAAGAAACTGCCAAACTGTCTTCCAAAGTGGCTGTATAATGTTGCATCACCACTAATGATGTATCCCCACATCCTTGCTAGCATTTGCTGTTATCAAATTCTAGCCATTCTAATAGGTGCATAAGGGCATCTCATTATTGATTTAATTTATAATTCTCTAATGATATATGATGCGGAGCATCTCTTCATATGTTTGTCTGCTGTTTATCTTCCTTAGTGAAGTGTCTGTGTAGATCTTTTGCCCATTTTTAATTGGCTCATTTTCTTATTGTTGAGTTTTAAGAATTCTTGTATATTTTAGATACCTGTCTTTCATCAAATATGTTTGGCAAAGATTTCCTCCCAGTCTGTGGCTTTTCATTCTCTTAACAGTGTCTTTCTTTCCTTTTTAAGACAAGGTCTTTCTATGTTGTCCAGGCTGGACTTGAACTTTTGGGCTCAAGTGATCCTTCTGCCTCAGCCACCCAAGTAGCTCAGACTACAAATGTGCACCATCGAGCCTGGGTTAATAGTGTCTTTCACAGAGTAGAAAGTTTTAAATTTTAATTAAGTACAACTTAACTTATTCTTTCTTGATCTAAAAAGTCATCGCTAAATCCAAGGTCACCTAGATTTTCTCCTATGTTATCACCTTGGAGTTTTATAGTTTTGTGTTGTACATTTAGGTTTATGATCCATTTTGAGTTAATTTTTGTAAAGGGTATAAAGACTTTCTAGATTTTTTTTTTTTTACATGTGGATGTTGCGTCATTACAGCACTATT